CCCAGCTGCTCCATTTCCATCCAGCTCCCTCCTTGTGGCCTGAGAAAGCATTAGAGGATGCTTCAAATTTGTGGGACCCTGCACCAATGTAGGATGTAGGAGACCCAGAAGAAGCTCCTGGTTTTGAATTGGCCTGGCTTTGGATCGTCTAACCTCCAGTCATCGTGACCAGCTGGGAAGGGAACTAGCAGAGGAAAGATCTTTCTCTAAGTCTCTCGTTCTCTCTGGAAATCTGACTTTCCAGTAAAAATTTTAAAAATCTTATGAAAAAGAAAAACAAGATATAAACAATAACAAAAAGATATCAAAACAATGCTTCAGTACGCATCGTTAAATGGTGACATTCTTGTTAAATGGTGATAGCTATTAAGAGGAAGACCGGAGCTGGGCTTTTGGATAATGTTAATGAAAATATATATTTTTGATAATCATGTTGGGATTATGATTAGAATGGTTCAGGGAAGATTTGGAGAACATGAAGTAGGGATCCTAAGAATACACAAATATCTCAAGGAAGTTTGTGATAACAGAATCCTAAACACAAACAAATGGTTAAAAGTACATTTAGCAGCTTGAATTCTTAACTGATGGAGTATAAAGAAAAAATAACATTATTGGCAATATTCTTAACAAACTTAGGAGATGGGATCAAATTAGAACTTGTATTCAGCTATATGCATAATATACACAGTGATGATGACCATTAAAGTATTAACATTTTTTAGTCTATTTATGTAATTATAATCAAATGCCCGAGACTGGGAATTTATAATGAATGGAAATTCACCGACATTCATTGCTAAGGTTGGAAAATTCGATGTTAAATTGATGGCATTTGGCAAAGGCCTTCTTGCTTTGTCATTATTTAGTGATAGCACCAAACTGTGGAAACATGAAGAGAACGCATCCTCAGGAAGCTTTTTAGGGAGAATAAAGGAGGCTAGGTGGGAGAGTTGGGAAGAGAGGATGGGGGTAGCCATTGTGTTCTTAGAAATGTATCTGCAAATCACACTGGAGTTGTCAAAAACACCTACTGTTCCTTGGAATTCTCTGGTCCTCTCAAACATAGAGAAACTAGAGGGGAGCAAGTAAAGCAAAATAAAGCCCCAAAACCTATTCTGGTGACATCTTGTTATTTCTGCCATTCCCTGTCCAGTGTTGTGAATATCAATGAGCCAATGCACAAGTGGAGATTCTACTCTTCAAAGAAATAGACAGGCATGTTAACAGGTTTGGAAGGCTTTTCAGCGCTCTCATGTTCTATGACATTTCCCCCCCCACAGTAATCAAAGGCATTAAGAAGAGTGCATGCTAAGGGTTCTTGTAAGTTTAAGTGAAAAATTGTGCATTTATATATCTTTGAGTAGTAAACGAATTGATTAGGGCAAAATGTATAGTTTACAGTACATTTTCCATAATTGGGGTATCATATATGAGATGACACGAGATGACAGAACAACACAAGGGAACTAAGCATATATGGCAGGATGTGACCATCAAAATGGAACATATAATTTAAATAGTGAAGAAGAAAATGGGAATCGGGTTCAATTGAGAGTCAAGACCAAAACAACAGGGGGTATTAGAAGTTTTGATGTGACTATAGAATTTTAACAGTTCTAGCACTAGCAGGAGTGAATTGAGGAGACAAGAAGTGGCAGTTAGAGAATGGGGTTTGGGGCCAATGAAGAATGATAGTTTCAGTGATGAAAAATTCTAGTGAATGACCCTGGTAATTCTTTGGAAATAGGGCCTTTGAGAAGGAGTTAAAATGATGGCATTAGTGTGGGTCCTATTCCAAATCTGACATCATTGTAAGAAGTTTGGACACATAGTGGCATATCAGGTAAACTGCAAAAGGACTCATGTCCAGACGTAGCAGGCACACATCTGCAAGCCAGAGAAAGGCTTGAGAAGAAACCAACCTTGCTAACATTTTCATCTTGGACTTGAGCCTAGAACTGTGAAGAAATTAATTTCTGCTGCTTAAACCACTCAATAAATGCTAGTTTACTATTCTAGTCCTAGTAAAGTAATGTAGATTCCTTGGTGTGGGGAGATAACAATTTTTAATTTAGTTTCTTCATTCACACTGCTGTCTCAGGTAGACACTATTGATTAGGTAGGAAGCACTACAGGGGTCTTCCTAGGCAGATGTGTAGATCTTCTTTGTCTTGTCAAAATTCAGTGCCATTTATCCATTGGTCCATATTGCCTTCTTTCTGCCTTTCATCAATTTGTAATTCTTATGGATAATGCAATTGGCTTAACAATATCAATTATTTATTCATGTCTCAAAAGTTGTTTGTTGAGGACTTATTACATGTCTCTCTTCGTGGGGCTTACCTTCTAGTAGCTCTGATTTAGGGTTGTGTCAGCCAAATTTTGTAGTCTTCTAATTGGATTTCTGGTAAAGAAAATTCCCCCTATCCCAACCCACAGTGCTTGTTATTTATTACTCAATTCACCTTCTTAAGTAGAAAATACATCATTTCTTTAAGAAAGTCTCAAAAATCGATTTGTGATTCAATATTTGCTTTCTAAATGAAAAATGCTTATTTCTTATTATGGCATTCAAGTTGTGATTTGGTTCTGAATTACTGGTTTGTGACCTTCTCCAAGAGATCTGAGTCCTTGCTGGGAAGCCTGTCTTCTGATTCTTTGTGTCACAAACATGACAACTGAAGGTACTGACAGACATAAGCTGTTGATGAAAGTCATCATATACTCAACTGCTATTAAGTCAGTTCTGATAGTGGCTAATTGTACCCTGTGTTGCTTTCAGTTTTCTGCTGGCAAGCGCTGGACCTCAGAGCTCTGAGCTCTCATTGTTGAGTGTCCAGTGGATGTTGGGAGAGGAAAGTCTGGCTGTGAGGGGGATTTCCAGATCCTCTGCTCAAGCAAGTTCCATTTCATCACTTTTTTTTTTTTTTTCTGTCAAGGGTAGCTGATTTCCTGAACAATGGGCAATGATTTCATTCACACACACACACACACACACACACTTGGCTTGAGGTTAGAAATAGAGATACTTTTAAGGGAAACAAAGCAACATTCAGCATATTTTACTGTGTCAGTCCTAATCTAGGCAGGAAACCAAAGTCACAATCAAAAATGCTTATCTAAAAAGCATGTAAGAAAAGGACTATTCCCAGAGGTGCTGGCTGGGCTAAGGCAACCGACAGTAGGAAACCATTTCCATCCTAGAGCTGAAGGGGTTACAGGCAATGGAATTATTAGACATTCATCTGCCCTGAAGAGACAGTCAAACAGATGGTCCAGAGTTGGAGCTCAGCATACAGCGAGGAGTAAGCAGTCATGCTCTGATACAATCAGAAGCCATAAGGCAAGGGGATCCTGGTCCTTTATCAGGTTTCTAATGGAAACAACAGATTTGGGGAGGGAAAAAGAGTGCTGCTGTTTTAAACACTCTATCATTTGAGGAAGCTGAAAATAACCAACAGATGTGAGGACAATTAAAAGCAGCCATAATCCTATCCTTCTAGGATTGCCGCCTTCTCGGTCAGACAGTTAACTTACTGGGGGTGTACTTGTCACCATAGCACAATTCGGATCAAACTTTTAAAATCAAGAATCTCAGAGTAAATATTTTGTACTTTTAGCAAATTCTAAGATCTTGGGGGCAAAACTGGAAAATATGCTGTCTTTTATATATAGCCTTTTTAAAGGCAGTCCATAAACACCAGTTGTTCAAATTCAGTCAGTGCTCTGGATTTGGTCTGTGGGCCACTGTTTATCAACCTTTCCTGAACGTGAAAGTTGGCTCCTAAATTTCTGCCAGCCTAGGGCATATTTTTCAGTGTCAAGTTCAGTAAAGCTACATCCGCGTGTCCTTCTACACGGGGTTATGTGTGATGGAAAGCCAGCTTTTAATGGCTCCAGTGAATCTGAGACTAAGTGGAGAGGATGCTAGGGCTGAGTCTCAAAAGGCAGCAGCTGTGAAGTCCTGGCAACTGGGGATAGCTGGTTTGCTGTTAACATCAGAACATTCCCCACACCCCCACACCCCACCCCTTCTGTCTTGGCTTCTGCCTTCAGCTTGGCCCATTGTTTAACAGTGAGGGCAGGCCTTCCCCATAGGAAATACCTACCTGCTTTTCTTTATGCAATGGGCCCAGAGGGTATTTTGCTTGACCAGTCTTGGCCACACACCCAGCTTTGATGAAGGCACACGTGTGGAGAAGCGTGATCCTGGTGCTGAGCGACTGCTGAGCCCGTATCTAAGAAGAATGGACATAGTTTCTTAAAGCAAGCGAGAACTCTGTCACCTGGAAATGGGAACTATTTTAGGGAGATGGAAGTTACAGTCCAATGTGCGACACGGGGTGGTGTAATCACCCCCATTCCTACTCCAGTACCCCAAATCCCACTGAGTAGAACTGCATAGGCTCCTCATCAATGAATGACTCAGTACCTCCAGCTGATGGCGAGATTCTTCTCTAAACTGGCTCAGAATTTCACTAGCTGCTTTTTTATTATGTACCTTTATTAGAACGTTTATATGACCCTATATTAGCTCCTCTTTATTCCCAGGCGTAGAAAGTGTGAGGGCCCGAGACCCAGCCAGGCAGGCAGGGAGCCTCCGCTGGCACTCCGAGTCCCAGGACCACAGCACAGAGTGTGACCACACCGTTGACAGGAACGATGACCCTCTGGGTGTCTCCTTCTGGCCTGGAAGTCCAGGCCTTCAGGCCACAAAGCCTGGCTTCCTAAACATACTTGCCTCCAGGGAGAAAGAGAAAGTGAGCCGCAGGGCTTGTGGGGGTGGTGATAGTGGTGGGGGCGCTGGCCCCCCGGGGCCCCAGTCTCAGGCGCGCCACCGAGCACAAGGGAAGACAACGGGGAGGCGGCAACGGGAGCGGATCTTCCCTTGCCAGACACTCGCAGCTGCGGTTACAGACCTGCAGCTCCCCTCCCCCGCCCCACCCAGGCCCGCCCGGCGCCAGCCGCCCGCCAGCCGCCCGCCTGCAGGCCTTTCTGTCTCCTCTCTGCCTCCGTACTAGACGGCCGGATCCATTTCCGGGCTCGGGAGATTTGGTATCGATCAGGGCCGGGGGCGCGCGGAGCAGGTGGCAGTGGCCAGGCAGCTGGGCCGCCCGCCTGGTGCGCCCGGACTGTCTCCCGCCGCCTTTGTCAGCAGCCCCAGCCCGGCCTGCTCGCTCGCTCCCTCGCTCTTCCTCGCTGCACTTTGCGTCGTGCGCTGCTGCTGCTGCTGCTGCTGCGCGCCCGGCCCGGCTCGGCGTCGGCTGTGCTGGGGAAGTGGACGGACCCCGGGCCCAACATGGCTGAAGTCAGCATCGACCAGTCCAAGCTGCCTGGAGTGAAGGAAGGTAGGGGCTCCTCCCCTCGCGCCAGCCCGTGGTCTCTGAGGGCAGGGGAGTCGTCATTGCACACCCCTCCTCGCCCCCCGTGGCCGGTGCCCGGCGCCCTCCTGGTGCTGGGCGCACCTGGACTTGAAGGGGGATGGATTTAGGCTGAAGGTGCGGGGAGGCTTTAAGGTTCCAATCCTGTTTTAAACTATGGTAGAAACTGGATTTGGGAGGGTGGGGTGGCTAGTAACCACCCTCAGCAAGTGGTTGTGCCAGTGTTTTTGGTGGTTGGCAAAACCCTTAGTAGACGCCTGCGAGTTGGTTGAAACAGACTTATTGTTGAAAATCCAGGCCCAGGAGGCTGGGAAGTGGGGAGGGCTTGACAGTTCCTTGTGGAGGCTTTGTTTTGAAACCTGACTCTTTCCCCCCACTGCTCTGCGTACTTTCTCCGAGCCCTGATTCTGGCTGGCTGACTTTCTCACCTTCCTGAAGGTTTGAAAGTTCAGGTTGGCCTTGCTCTGGGCGGGAGGTTGGGAATGCTGTCTAAGGAAAATGTAACAAAGAGTTGATCAGGGGAGAGCAGGAGATCATAACTTTGTTGTTGCTGCTGCTAAATGGCTCCCTGTATTGATGTTCAGTAAAATAAACATTGCTGAAGATTGGCCTGCCTTAGCTAGCAATTCTGGTTTCCTTCCTTGGGGGTGCGTTTTATTTATTTTGTACTGATTTGTCGAGTGCTGGGTCACTTTCACCTTTAGTTGTCTCGGGTTTTTTGCCTTGGGGAAGCACAGACGTTCCTGAGTGCTATGCCAGCCTCCTGCTTCGGAAGGCTTTTGTCACACCCTGGGGCCTGAGCTTTTCAGCCCAAGTGTTTTCTCTACGCGTGCTGTTGCTAGCCTGGTGATTTTTAATACGCTGAGAACTGACTTTCATTTTTCACATTAGGGTGTTGGCAATCCAGGTTTCTCCATGTGTCTTCGGTTTATCTGCGTTGATTTTGAAGGTAGTCTGGGCTTGTTGATTAAGATCTTGTCTTTGTAAGCGTCTTACTTTTCTGGTTCTAACATTGTCATTGGGGACAATGATTATTTTAGGAATGTCCTAATGATGGTAAAGTTTCTGATCTGGAAAGAATTCAGGTCTAATGAGTATGTCTTTCTCTAATATAACTCTTAATTATGGCCCAGTTGCTCCTTAACAGTGTCTTTATCCTAATTAAAGAGAAAAAAGCTGGTGCCATGATACACAAAACATGCACCAACACTGAAACTTTTATAATACCGAAGCTCCCCATTTCCATTTGAGAATGAAGTTTAGTATTGATTTGCTTACTATTCTGGTGTAGATTGTTAATTCCACCGAAGAAAAGTTTGTTTTTCTTAATTCAAGCCATTGATAGCTTCATTTGGCATCATGGGGTGGATTCCAGTAGTAGAGACTGACAACTATATACAGAAGTCCAAGTGCTCACTGTACCCCTTTTTCTAGGAATGTGTGGGGGCCCATGGCCTTTATTGTAACTAGAGGTCATGGGTAACGCCCAACATCAGCATGTGTGGATTTGTGCAATTCTTTTCTAGGTTAGAAACTAGTATCTGCCTACTTGATTTTTAAAGAGGTCAAAACATCATTTGGACAAACTTTTTAAACACAAGCACATCACACACAAACTCATGGCAGGATTGCTACCTTGGGCAATCTGTCTTAACCCAGGAAACTCAAGAGATGGTTGAGTTCATATACAGGTGATTCGAATTAGGTCAACTAAACATCAACAGGCCATGTTTTTTCTGTTAGAAAGATATTTGAAACATTTGTATACTTCTTGTAATGGGAAGTATTGTTGCCAGTGTTCTGAGCTAAGGCTTTATTTCTTTTGAAACATTTGAGGTTCTGTGCAACAAATTTTGAAATTTCCATTTTTTTTTTCTTAAGACCAATGGATACCTAATGGAAACACAACCTGAAGTTTACAAAGGTGTTAGGAAAAGGAATATCCAGGGGTTCTAACAATATTGTGAAAGTTTCTTATTTTGGAATTTGTGTCTGAAAACATATTTTTCTAAAAGTGAACGTTATTAAGTAGTTGACAACATTAGCAATTTAGCCATGAGTATCCCTTTTTTGGTCAATTTCAACTTCTATACTGAATTTTCTTTCCGAAATAGCAGTCAACTCCCTGCTTTTCTTTTGCTCTTTCCAGAGTCCTTTGACTTAATTTCAGTTGCTCAATTGCTGTAATTTTGGCACATTTTCCCAAACAAAAGTTTTACACCGTGAAGTTTGGCTTGAGAGCATTAGCTTGCCCATGAAAGCTTTTCTAGGGCACATTGTGTGTTATCAACTTCTTTGACCTTTCTTAAGCTTCACAAGTTTTCCACTTTAGCCACTTAGCACTTTGTTCCAACACTCCTGACCTCCCTCAGTGTCAGCCTCTTTCTTTTCACCAAGTCTCTAAATCTTATTTTTTTATTTTGTTTTCTTTTTATACTTTAGATGAACGGTTCTGCTGTCTCCAGGGCTGGTGAACTCTCTGTGCTAGTGTATGCTTGTGTCCATGACTTCTAAAATCTTTGTACCCTGGAATGACTTATGTTGAAATAAAGGTAGCTAGCTATTTTAGGAAAAGATTCTTTTATCTTTAGTGAAAGCTACAAATGAGTACATTTTTAGAAAATTTTGAATTTTTCTAATGTCCAGAACATGCAGATGGCATAATGAAATCAGTTAAATTAGTGGCTTAAATCAGAGCTTCAAGGGATAGAATTCCATATAGTACAATCAGGTAAACCAATAGTTGTAGGGTTCTAAAGTTTATCTCTTACACACTAACATCTAATGTGATGGCTGTCCGTAAGATGATATTATCTGGCTCCAGGGCAAATAAGCTTTCCTTTTCCTTCCAAGATCCACAGCAGTTTATCTTGTTATCATAGCTTTTTAGATATAATATTAAGATTTTATTTGTTTATTTAAAAATATTTTTATTGGCAGGTGTCCAGAAAGGAGAGACACAGAAAGGCAGAAAGATCTGTCCGCTGGCTCATTCCCCACGTGACCTGATCTGAAGTGAGGAGCCAGGAGTGTCTTCTGGATTTCCCACACTTTGGACCATCCTCTGCTTCTTTTTCTAGGCCACAAGCAGGGAGTTGGGTGGGGAATGGAGCAGCTGGGACTAGAACTGATGCCCCTGTGGGATCCCAGTGCATGCAAGGCAAGGATTTGCCACTAGACTATTGTGCCAGGCCCATGAATTTTTATTTTAAAGACAGAGAGAGTCTGTTTCAGCTATTAGTTTATTCCTCGTGCCAGAAAAGAAAGCTAGAACTGTGTGTCAGCCAGGTGTGTGACAGGCGCCCAGGTGCCTGAGTCATCGCCTGCTGCTTCCCAGGGTGTGCAGTTGCAGGAGGTTGATCTTGGGAGTCGAACTGGACCTGAGTCCTTTATACTCCAGGGTGGGATATGGGCTTCATAATCCATCTGCAATCCCCCACTTCCCTGCCCCTGTTACCTTTTTAATGGGAGTGGCTGGATCACCTTGAACTTTGACGTTTCTTCTAGGTTTTCTTTCCCCTCCTATTGTTATCATTCAAATAGCAAGCAAATGTTAAGTAAATATTTGAATGTGTGAGTGAGTGAATATATTCATTTTTGTCTCTGTCATAATTATTTTGTATTCCTTCTCAGAAAGCGTTGATAGGGTGGAGACAATTGTCTTTTAAATATGTGGACCACATTTCATTAATGTCCATGTCAACTTTATAAAATTCTGCATTCAATTTTTTTTGGGAATATTTACTTTGTAAATAGAGTTCGTGCCACATACATAGCATAAAAAGTTTAATTGTTCATTGCTTTTTCTCGGGCTTTGGATACAACAGTTACTAATATAGAGTTTACTGAAAATATTACTAAGTGCAAAGCAGATGGAAGGAATCTTAGAAACACTAAAAACAACAACAACAATAATTGGGGACCAACATTGTGGTACAACTGGTTAAGCCACCAGGTGCAGTGCTGCAGCTCCATGTGAGCACCAGTTTGTATCCCAGCTGCTCTACTTCTGATTAGCTCCTTGGAAAAGTAGCAGAAGACGGAGCTAGTACGTGAGCCTGGTACCCACATAGGAAGACTTGGATGAAGCTCCTGGATGGAGCTAACCCAGCATAGGCTTTTACAGCCATTTGAGAAGTAAACTAATAGATGGCAATTTCATTCATATTTTCTCTCTCTTTTTCATTTCACTTTCTTTCTCTCTGTTCTCTCATCCTCCACCAGTAACTTTGTCTTTTCACATACATACATACATATATATATATACACACACACATATATTTACACACAGACATTTGTTTGCTATGTGCCAAGTGTTGTTGAGTGTAGTGTTCTGTTTGTGTATGTGTGTATATATATATTTGACAGTATATATGCATATATATACATATATTTTAAAGTGTGTATGTATATATATACATATTTGAAAGTGTACACACACACATCAGCTTACTATGTGCCATTTTTCCCCAAAGAGTTATTTATTTTTGTTTGAAAGATTTACAGAGTGGGATCTTCTGTAAAATGGCCACCTCAGTCAGACTGAGATCCCTCTGTCTTGCCTGTGGGTGTAGGGGCTCAAGGACTGAGCCATCCTGTACTGCTTTCTCAGATACATTAGCAGGGAGCTGTATGGAAGTGAAGCTAGCAGGTGTCCACATGGCATTCTGGTGCTAGCAGGCAAAGGATTAGCTTGTTGAATCATAGGGATGGTCCCCCTTTTAAATATTTATATATTTTTTATTTGCGAGAGAGAGAAGAGAAAAAGAGCATGCCTACATCTGCTTGCCCAGCAATATCCAGAGCTGAGCCAATCTGAAGCCAAGAGCCAGGAGCCGAGATCCTCCTGCAGGCTCCCAAATCTGCCCAAGAGGACCAAGGATTTGAGCCATATTCCCTAACCTGCCATCCCGGAACACAGGCAGGAAGCTGGATGGAAAGTGGATTAGCATGGACCTGAACCAGTA